CGGGGGTTCTGTGGGGGCCGAAAAGGGGTGGGGCCCAAAGAAAAACAACCCAACAAGGTAAAGAGGTTTTTTTTTTTTTTTTTTTTTTTTTTTTTTTAAAATAAAAAAAAAAAAGCTGGTTTTTAGATTTTAAAGAAAGTAATTTAAAAAAAATATTAAAAAAGAAAAAGAGAGGGAAAAAAATCAAAATGCCAAAATATACCATCTGGGATTTTTCTTTAGTAAAAGTTGGATAAATATTAAATAGTCATGATCAATGATAAAGGGTTATGCAGCTTTATCACAGTTGAACTTTTACTAGTTCTTCATCAATTTATTTTGAATGAAGACAAAGTCATTTTTTAAAAGTTTTTTTTTATATTCCTGGCCTCGTCTCAGGTCTTTCTTTTTGGTTTTACTGAAAGGCGGTTCGACCCTGTTAGAGAAAACGTTCCAGCGTGAAGGGTGGGGGGCTCATTCTAAACACACGAAAACACACACAGGAGATGGGATGGCGCACCGGAAACAACAGAAGAGGACCAGAATGGCTAAAATCTCAGGAGGACTAAGAGTAAGATAAAAAAAAAAAAAAAAGAAGGAAAGTAAAGGAACGGGAAAAGAAAGGCTAAATGAATAAAAGGAGGAAGAGATGAGTGTGAGGAGGCCATGCTGCGTGGGCTCTATTTGCGTCTTGGTTTACTTGGTGGAAGGCGTTGTGGCGGCGGCTGCTGCTGTAACTGCTGTTGGGCTTCGCCCCGCGCTATCACAGCAGATCCGCTGCCTCCAGTGGTGCCGTCCTGATGGTGCTGCCTCGCAGCGCTTTTGCTGGAGCGTGAAGCGCCATGTGAGCGAGAGTGCTGGCTGTGTCCGTGGCTGGGGCTTTGGCTCTGGCCCTCGGACGAGGAAGGCTTCGATGTGCCAGGACTACTGTTGGATTTCTCGATAGTGGTCACCTGTGTGTCTAAAACAACCAGATTCACCAAATTACTGAAAAAGCTACTCTTTGCTTGACAGAACTGAAGAGGCTGTGGCCTGCTCAATAGCACCTGCGCCGAGCCTAGGACCGTCTGGAGCATTCTTAGTGCCACTTTGTTGTTATTTTATTTTTTTTGCAAAAGTAGAGAGGCTTTCAAAGCCTTCCACAGCCATGTTGCTCTCTGTGGCAGAGGAAAGATAGCGGGAAGCTAAGGCTAGGCCTCTGAGCTGGGTGACATTATGGCAACCAAGAAAACAGACCATGGCAAAGTAAAAAAAAAAAAAGAAGCATGAAGCTGAAGCTACAAGTGAGTGCATAATGAGCAGCAGAGAATACAGGTAGTGATAAACAAGGACAGAGGTTGGCACCGTAGGAGAGAAACATGGCAAAAAGAGAGAGGAGACAGGAAAAGGAATCAAAGGGAAAAGGAATACCCAGTACAGAGAGGAGGGGAGCAGGAGCAGCAGGGGACCAGCGGGGTACGGACAGCTGTTGAGGAAATTCATCATGTCCTACCCTTGGCTGGATCTGGAAAGATCCCATGGCTTCGACTCTTGGTGACAGATGATTTGGGGGAATCCTGGCTGTCGTGAGCGGGGCCGGAGACTTTAGGGGACGAGTGCTGCGAGGAGGGCTTGGAGGAACCATGACGACCCTGGCCTGAGTGGGAACGTCTGTGGGGGTCGCCTTCGCTTTGCTCCTTAAGGGGGAGCCATCGGGGAATGTTGTCCAGCTGGGCTGTGTTGGACAGGTCGATCAGAACCTGGGGACAACCAAACCACGTTAGCAAACGCTCACAGGTTGGGTAAGTTATTTGTATTTTCATTAAAAACATTTACCTCTCCTAAGAAATCATTAGAGGAACCTTTGTCATAGTCCCAAACACTCACTTCCAGAGTCTTCTTCCTCAGCTGAAACACATACAGTTCAAATTATGACAAGCTCTGTTGTTCTACAGTCAGTGAACCTGGCAGAGGAAATCAGAAGTGAAAACTTGAACCCACTACAAACCTCATGCAGGTCTAGGGACAGGGGAAAAAAGCAGTTAACGCTTTTTTCCCCTTTTTTGCAGACCCCATCCAAACTGTTTAAACTTTTACTTTCAGCTCGGTGTTACAGAGTGCTATTTGAGCTGACGGAAAGATGCATAGAGCCAAAACTTTGCCAAACAATTGTGGATGCAATTTGACCCCTGAAGCTTGTGAGAGCACTGGTGTGAGGCATGCGAGGTTAAATCTGAAATAATCAAAAGATGTACAAAACTTACCGTTGATAATGTAGTATAAAATGTGAATGTGGATCAGAGTAAGAGCTACCGGTGGTGAGCACATTGCTGCGTCCTGACCCAAGTCCACAATGAGATGCAAAAGACTTGAAGGGTTTCATGCATTCCAGAAATACTTCAGTACCTGCTCCAGGTGGATGTTTTTATAGATGACGGTCTGGTTCCACTCAGGATTGAGGCTCTTGCCTGCATGTTTGGATTTTCTCTTGTTTTCGGCACTGTGGGAAAACGTCACAAAAAAAAAAGTGCATTTTGTTATCGCTTAGGCAAACACTCAAGTACACGAACCACCACACTGTGACAAGGGCAAGTAGTTGGGTTAAAAGAGGGCACAATGTGAAACTATAGAAGGAAGGCAATGAAAGTGATGAACACTGTTTTGGATGGTTAATAATGCAAAGACCTACGTGCATGGAAAGAAAGGACTGATGTCAGGGTGTGCTGCAAAAAAGTCCATTTTGTGCTCCATGAAGTCATTTAGTCTCGCAGAATTTTTGACATCCTACCGTTTGCTTGGGTGGGTCATTTGGAAAACATCTTCAAAGACGTCGATTTAGTATTTGCAGAAAACCCGAAAGTCATGGAGGAGGTCAAACACATGACTCTGAGAGGGAACAAATATTTAACCCCTTACGGAAGAGAACACAAACTGAATAAATGACTTTTTTCACATGGATGTTTTTTGCAGAGAAGAGGGTTTGACTTAGGATTGTTGGGTATGGGATTTTAGTAGGTTTGGAAAAAGACAAGAACAATTCACTCTATGCAAAGTCACAAGTGTGTAGCTAATGTGACAGGGCGTTAAAGGGTGCAGCATGGGACTGAAGATTAATGTGGGAGCAGATTTTTAAAGCCCTACATGGGGTAAACTAAAACGGTTAGAGCAAAAACCTGGAATTTCACATTTTAATGGGCAAATACAACAAGCAATCTATCAGCAGAAGCCAAAGGCACTCGGAGCTATTTGGTAAGTTGGGCTAGGAGGTTAAGGATGGTAATTTTATTGCCAAGATGTCAAAATATTAGTAAAGTTAACAATACCAAAAAACATAAAATGAAGGAAAGAATGAAAGGAGTTACTAGACACTGGACTGATCAACCACGATCTCACTAAGTTGGCTGCCAAACTGACAACCAGTTTTTTTTTTTTTTTCTTTACTAAAACACAACTAGAGTGGGCAAGTCACATACCTGGCATTCTGGACAACCATGACCTGACTGAGGGGTCCAGCATGCATTAAATGTAGAAAACAACATACAGAAAGAATAGTCAGAGGGAGGGTGAAGGTTCGGAGCGTCTCAGTGGACTGTGAGGGCTTCAGGGAAGAGGAGCTTAGAATAGATTTGGGATAGATTTTACTTTGTGGTTTATTTGTGTTTTAAAAGTAAAAAAAAAAAAAAAAAAAAAAGATAGTAAATGTGCAAAAAAAAAAAATAATTTATTTGTTGTTATATTGTTTCACTGATAGTAGGTTTAGTGTTGAGCAGCAGACTCCATGTTCTAATTTGAAAACTGTGTAGTGACGAATCAAACTCCAACTTCTTGGAAAACTTAACTGAGTTAACATGACAGTCATATAGATGAAAAGTGATTTTGTTACGTTTAGAACTATTTTCTCATCTTTGTTGCTACACAGAGCTATAGTTGATGAGGCTACCTGCTGTATCACTCCACCTTGTCCAGGTGGGATAATTTCCAAACAACTATCAAAGCTGAAAAACCCACCGGAATGTATCATCTTTAAATGTCGCTGGAACCCCCCCCCCCAAAAACTACTGCCACAAAAACTAATGCTTTACTAAACTTTTAGCGAACTGATGCACTGCAGCTGGACAGGTGGACTGATAATAGCCAGCCACTTCGCAGATATGAACATTCAGTTGTTTAAATAACTAAAATTGGCTAAAACCGAGTCAACCATGTGGATTAGCTGTTAGTTTTCTGTCATCTTAATGATTTCATCAACAGTGTAGAAACTCACTGCAACGTGACATACCTGCTGCACAACTAAGAGGTTTATTACAGTTAATAACATCATAGAACTTTACGTAAATAAAAAAAAATCAAAACTATTAATTTTACATCTTTTAACTTATGTTGCGAAATCACTTAAAACTGCTTTTGGTCCTTATGCAGCCAGGATGCTTGTTGATGCATATTTCACACATACCTAGGACTGTATTGATATTCTGCAGCCATTTAGTGCTCAGAGTGTAAAGGACATCTGGTAGTATTAGCCATTTACTTTCTAACAACTCAATGGTCAGGACCTTACGGCAGATTGGTTTTCACATAAAATATGTTTTTGAAGGGGCCCGCATATTTTCAACCCCCTCAAAAAGCTGCAGGTCGACACCCCAAAGAAAAGAAATTTAGTACCAACGTTCACCAAATCAAACAAGATGTGTTTTTCCTCTTTTTTTTTTTTTTTTTTTCCTGGTTGCTGTGCCTTAAGCGATTGTTCTCAGCAACCTTAATTTGGTTGTCAGGAGATCTGTGATGGAACCAGAGAGTCTGTGTGGGGATTACAGTTTGTGCCAATAGCTGTGGAAAGTCATGTATAGCTCCAAAGCACATACATGAGAATGCGCACCAGGGTTTATGTCTCAGCCTTAACAGTTTGCCGCAGCACTACCAACTTCAACATCCTTACCCCGGCGCCCTCTACAATTATCTGGACATATATGAAGCTGAAGATCTTGGCCAAATGCATGGAGCCGTACATTATTATGTTTATCATAAATGATCAATGAAAAAAACAACAACAAAAAACAAAACAAAATTGAATTCTACAGAAGGTCTCATCTCAAGCAGAAGAGAAGGTGGAAGAGTAAATTGCATTATAATGCTATCACAGTGAGAGGGGAGCCCTGGACTTATTGAGGGAGTGTGGATCAGGTTGCAGGCAAATATGAGCACTATTGATTTTGTCTGCATTTATACCTGCACTATCACATCCATCAACAGCTTGAACACATGTCAGAGTTGAGCCTCGCATGATTCACGTAATGTTTGTATAGGAGTGATTAGAAGCTAATAATCTCTGTTAAAAAAAAAAAAAAAGCAGAAGGAAGCCTAGTTTACCTAAAAGCTAGTTGGCTCAAAGTGTCATAGTGATGTGAAGCTGATATCAAATAAAGACCATGTGCTGCACATCGAAAGATGCAATGGTAGGACAAAAAAAAAAAATAAAAAAAATAAATCAATCTTAAATCGATTTTAAATGAATGAAAATTCAGTTTTGTTTTCAACAAAGTGGCTGTGTGTGCAGCACTGATGGGAAAATAGCAGATGGAACAAGACATCATTTCAGTCTGACTCTAATTCTGAATAAAATGTGATTTTTTTTTTTTTTCTAACATTTTTACACCAACAATGTTCTTCGATGATAACTCGCGGCCACAACCAACTTTGCTCCATTTCAGAACCAGTTACGGCGTGCCTCAAAAATTTGCACTCCCCTGACTCACCCTCTCCCTGGTAGGAGATACACTTTTACAAATGGATCCGAGTAGCCGTTGTTGTCGCGCGGTGCGAGGTTTCTGGCCTGCAGGACATGAACTATCAAGTTGCCAAGCTGCTTGTCGTAGTGGATTTGAAGCTGTAAGAGGAAAAGGTGGTTGAAAAGAAAAGACAACGTCCCACGAATGGCATGAATTACCTTCATGTCGACTTAGATTTGGAATAATTCACGGGCACCAAAAGTCAGAAACACGTTTTGTGAATAGCAGAGACTTGTTTTACAGACCTGTATCTCTCCAGAGATGGGGTGGGAGTGGGTCTTGGATCCTTCTGTGGTCTACAGAGGAAGAGAATAAGATGCTAAGACTGTGATAGATGCAAGTGTGTAGGTGGGGAGTTTACTGGTGGGTGGTCCTGAGGAACATAAAATACAGAACTCTGCTGTATTTGTTGCAATGCTTGGAGGCACAACTGGGAGATTATTTTGCTACAAGGGCTTTAAGTTTGTCTGTTCACTTTTCTGTCTTTTAGGCAATGTGCACATACTTCACAACAATACGTTTTTTTCAGCTTATGTGTAAAATGGGTAGTAAATAAATGTACATATGATTCCTTTATTCATTTTATTTCCTTTAAAGTTTATCTATGCATACTTCATGTCTTTACAGTGTGAGCATTTAAAAAGTCGAAGTCAAATTCCTTGTTTCAGATTACAATTTTGATTGACTAGATTATTCCTTCGTTTTGAACATTTTTTCCCATTTCGTCACGTTACAGCCACAAATGTAGCATTTTCTCAGGAAGATTTTGTGACAGAACAGGACAAAGTTGTGCAGCAATTTCTGCCTCTAGACGTAAATGTCTGGAAAAATGTGTAGTTTTGTGCAAATTTTTGAAAGCCCAATTATGTTGGTCCACTTTCGAACATGACTCTTTCCGAGGCCTGCGTATGAAACCTCAGATTCAGACAGAACATGTCTGAAATCCCTTCCCTTCGACTCGCCTTGCTGGCGTGGCGCTTCTTGCTGACGGAGGGGGATCCAGGCTGACCGGGACTGGACGTCGCAGACGTCGGAGCGGCCAGGCTCGAGGACGATGCGGACATGGGAGCCTGCTGCTGTGACACTTTCTGCAGCTCGGCAGCTAGCTGCTTGGGATCAACGCCTGGAGATCGGGGAGGTTTCTCCCCTACAAGTCAGAAAAACAAACACAATCAGAACGTAACTTGGCGTCCTGGCTTGTAGGAGCGATATTGATGAGATCATAAATGTACTCTCTAAGAACCTATGAGAGCAACATAGAAGATGTGTGTGTAATTGTCCATTTCAGTGTGTATTAAAGTTTGGCCCCTGTATTTTGTTTTCCTAAATATGAACATTTGATGAAACTGTCAAAGCGACTGCATTGAAGAGAAACCTCAAATGAGGATCAAAATGAAGAAAACACAAAGCGTCACCTTTGCTGGGCTCCTGCAATTCAAGATGCTGGGAATCTTCAGACTCAGCCAACATGTTAAGATCACTGAGAAGAAGAGACTTCATTTTAGCTTTGAAGATCATATATGATGAGAGACAAAGTAAAAAAAAACATCAACTACAAGATAAGAGATACACTAAGTTTTAAAAAAGGACTCAATAACCTCTAGTTAACAAATATGGAATCACTAAGTTGTTTGTGGCAATAAAACACATAACTAGATGGACAAAAAGGGAAAAAACAGTCCAAAAGAAAATTAAGATATATAAAAAAATCAAACAAACGTCAGTGAAAAGGGTAGAAGATGTGATACTTACAGTCTGACACACAGTTCTGCTTCGTTACACAGCTGTCCAACCAATCCTTGCACTTCCTCGTACGTTTTTCCCGTCAGTTGAACACCGTTCCACTCTAACACTTGCATTCCTGCGAATAGAAAGGGCACGAGCACAACATCAACAACGCTCTATTTACAATGTTTTTACTTTTTTTTTTTTTAATATGGTCAAGATTAAAGCAGGCCACTTCAAACCACAACAAAGTTAATTAAACCCACGATGGGTCTATGTAACTGATAGAACCCAGATTTTATTTTATTTTTTCATTTATGATCTTACAGTAGGATATTTAAAGTACGGAAGTAGAAAGTCATAATCCGGAGACAGTCTTCAGACATTATGTCCTCAGATGTTAGTCAACACAGCAAAGCCACAGCAAACTCCCGTCCTGCACACTCACACGGACACGACTCACATGGATTGAAGCAGCTCATCAGTAGCGTCTTGGGTTTGCGACGATACTCGCGGCCTGAGTGAGCGGGAGCGACAGGGGAGCTACACTGTAGTTTCTAATTGTCACGTTTTAAAGATGTCAGATCTCAGCGAACAGCCGAGCTGATCAGACAACACAGAGTCATACGTGCAAACACTCACACTTCTCCGTGACGCCGGGCTTCTGAAAAATCCCAGCGTTTGTCCATGCACCAAACCGGCACCAGTGAGTCGGAACCAAATGCTTCGCAACCATTATGCCCAGCGCTAAGAACGATCTGATCACTTTTAGAAAAATCTATTTTTATTTAGTGTCTGCTATTGCAATGACTGGAGAGCAATGTAATGTTTTATGTAGAATTGATCGGCTCTACGCAGGTAATTTAACCCTTAAATGCGTTTTGTGCATCAATATAATCTCTAAAAATCGCATAGAAATATGGAAACTGTCCAAAGGGCACAGTGCCATACTGATGTTCAGGATTCCAACATTTTTCTGATACAGCTCGCAGTCTTCAGGTTGCACACATTTGCTTTGGACCTTTTCATGTTCTGTGTGATTTCACTCATCCCTTCCTACCTGCTACAAAGAAAACGTGGGAATGACCATGACTACGACTGTAATAGATGAGCTTCCGCCTTAGGTAAGAAAATATTAACTTGAATTCTCAGAGGAAAGCTCAAACACACTCTTTAAATTAAGTGTGCTCCTATGTATGTGAAATAAAAGGTTTCAAACATCTGACAGGCTGTCTGGCCAGCAAACTCCACCGGATTCACATGGACTTCAAAAGGAATGATTGGATAATGACTCTAACAACATTTTTTTTTTCTTTATTACATATTTTCAATGTGAGTCGGGATATTGCTGGGTTTGATTCAGACACTTTGAGACATCAGCCTTCACTCACGGCTCATCTTGACCGAGCAGCACACAACTCAGGAGACATCCGCCGTTCTAATGCAGTGATGAGGCACGTCTCGGGGAGACTTTGCCTGATTTGTACTGGCAGAGCGTCATCCCGAGCAGAGGGGAGATTTCTGGTCAGCTGCAACGCCCTTGCATATCCTTATTTCATCATGACGTGCAAGTCTCCGCACTTATTAAACCATCTTATTCTCATGCCTATTTGTCATTACACAGTGTTTTTTTTTTGTTTTTTTTTTAAACGAGGGCTGACTTTTATTGCGCAATACTTGATAAAATCAAATATTGTCTCTTGAGATGGTTCAAGTCTTTTCTCATCCCTAATGCTTGAGTAACACATATTTAATGGGAATTGTGATGGGTAGTAAATGAGTGTAGCAGATTTGCTGACTTTTATGTCGTACAGTATTTGCAGTTCTGAACAACACTGTGTGTGTTTTAGCAGATTGAGAGACTCATCATTTCTTCCAAAACAAGCAGAACAAGACTTGTAATCAGAAATGCATTTTCAAAAAGCCTCAACGTTAGAAAACCTGTTTAGCTATTTATTTTATTTAATACCGATCTAAAAGAAAAAGGAAGTCAGGGGAAGGTTTTACCTTCAAGAATTTTTCCTGTTTGTTCTGCAGCGCCACCAGGTAGGACTTTGGCAACATATGCACCAATGTCTCCGTTCCCACCTGGAACCTCTTTTCCTCCAACTACACGGATACCCAAACCATTTCCTGTTTAGGTTAAAAAAAAACCAAACATAAATATTGATATTATGAACATATTTGTGTGATTTTTAACAGGAAAGAAATGCATGAAAATCAATAAAAAGCTAATTTTTGTCTTGGAATCACAGTATGCATTAAAATAATGAGAAAAAAAAAGGGTTTTCCAGAAACACACACACACACACACACACACACACAAAAACAACAACTTGTGAAATGGCATAACTGGAGTCCTGACCTAAATCAAAAATAAATAAATAAATGAATGAATGCTATGATGTCACCTGAGGAGCTTTTGTGTAAGATTATTCCTACAGTCTGATAAATTTGGGAAAACCTTTGCAATGCAGAGAAAGCAATTATTTCCAAATAAAAGTGTGGTGTCCTGAAAGCAAAAAAAAGAAAGAAAAAAAAGCAAATCAAAACGTACTTTACCAAAGTATTAGTTGTAATGATGTGCGTTCTTACTCAGGTCATTTTTCTTTTCAGTTGAATTTGAAAGCGAAAATATTTCCTTGACTAAGGAAATGATCCATCATAGCCTAGTTATTTTACATCGCAGAAGCTTGCTGTTTTATCAAACGTGCGTGCACTTTTGGGATCTGCTGTATTTTATGTTACTAGTGTGAAAGAAGCACGATGGCGCTATTCGAAAGTGATGGGGTTTAAAAAAAAAAAACTCCACCTAACTACAACTTTCATAAAAGATCGCTTAGGGCAGAACAATATGTCTCCTTCCCATTTACGGGAAGTGTTAAAATTGTACTTCAGAGTAACTGTGAACATTTCCAATCCTTTGCTTAGAACCAGATTCGCTATGTGGATTTCATCACATTAAGTTACTGATTTCCTCCTTTGCTCAATGGTTCCACATTCAGCACACAAATACTATCAGTCATACCTTCCCTTCAATACAGAATCAGAACCACAGTCATTTAATATTGTCAAACAATTTGAAATGGTAATTGAAGGCAGAACAAAATGATTGAGGCAAAAAATAATCCTGATCACTCTTTTTAAATAAATTAATTCCTTGTGGGCTGTTTGCTATTTATTTATTTTTTTTAATTTTTTTTTGAGCAAGGCAAGCTCATTGTGAAGACGAGCAAGATCAAAAACATGTCTGCCGTCTTTGAGCCTGAAGGAGTTGCGTGATGGGATTTCAGTATAGGGTAAATAAAATGCATGACACTCATCAGTCATGCTCTTTAAATCATCATATTAACATGAAGATTTTAAATAAAACCAACACAGAAAGCTAAACGCAGTGCAATATCTGCATGGTTGATACGCGATTAGCTTACAATACATTGTGAATAGAAATATGTCATTCACCTAGATTATTAAACCTGTGTTACTTTACCTGTGACACTGCGGTCTTTGAGATCCCTCTGCAGTTTGACCCTGAGGTGAGGGAACGGATAGTATGGACCTTTTCCCTGTTGTGCATACAAAAGGAAAATATGTAACTAATATTCTGCACTCACATTGCATGTAAGGTGGTTGTGTCACTGGACGCGAGTTAATGCATTCAGTTATTACGGCGTCTTTGTTCATCAAATATTTCAGCATTTTATGCCACTTCACGGTCATTTCAGTAAACAAGTAGGACTACACCCACCGTCATTCTTTTATACAGTAAACACAAGAAAAGCAAAATCATTTTGTTCTAGTTAGTTCTTAAAATTATTTATTAATAATTATAAATATATTTCTAAGCTTGATGAGTTCAAAAGACAGATAGCACAGAGCTATTGTTGACTGAACAGAATTTAAGTCAAAATGCGATGGGGAAACTTACAAAGAAAAACCCAAATTCTGTTTCAGAGAAAGCTTAAATATTACATAAAACCAATAAAAGACAGTCTCAGTGCAGAATTTGTTTTAAAGTTTAGGTCTAAATGTAAGATTACACTTAATTCTTGGACAAAAGTAAATGCCTGAAATGATTTCAGGTCATTACATTCACAAGTCAGCCACATAAATTAAAAAAAATGCTGGCAGTCCAGTAAAGAATTCGGGGAGCCATGTCCTCTGGTCTTGGTCCACTGAGTTTTGTGAGCTCTAAAGTCACACAGTTGTCTATAAGGAAACTTTAGAGCCTTGTCCGCATCACAGTGAAGTGGACGAGCTTCGCCGAGATGCTGATTTCTGTTTCCAGCAAGATACGATACCTGCCCGCACTGACAAAAGTACAATGACCACGGCATCGATCTGCTTGATCGGTCAGGAAACTTTCCTAATCTAAATGCCAGAGATAATCTTTGGGGCATTGTGAAGAGAGACATGAGACATGCAGACAAGCAAAGTCTGTTATTAAACCAACCTGAGGCTCCCCAACACTAAAGAGGATTTCTAGATAAGTACTGAGCACACATACTGCACAGGACACAGAGATCTTCTTTTTGGTCTAATGTATTATTCTAATTTTCTGAAGGCTGAATTTTAATTTTTTATTAGCTGTAAGTCACGATCATTGAAATTCAGGGAAATTATCAATTGTAACATGTCGGAGTCTCTACCGAATTACTTTTCAGTCATATTCCAATTTATTGGCTTGCATTGATATTTTCATATTTCACCTGTCTCTTTTCTTGACCGTTCTCTGGCCGTCCATCCCTCGGCTTGTCAAACCAGTCAGTCTCGTCTCGCCTGAGGTGATAGGCTTTAGGGACAGAATTCAAACTCATTCGGAGTCAGACCGTTTGCATCTTACAAAACAGGATGGGCTCAAGTGTATCTAAATGTGATTTCATGCTCATAAGGACACAGCTAATTATGAAAGATGAAAACATATTGGTGAAGTACAAACTGAGTGGCAAAAGGAACATTGATGTGAAATAAGCAGAAAAGTAATGCAGTTTGTGGATGACTTAGACAGGGTTACTGAAGTGTGTATGATCGAATAGTAAAGGGCAATAAAATCCTCCAGGAATGTAAATGTTGGGTGTTGTATACATGAATATCAATTTTCCTCAATTGAAAGCAGGCGGTTTTTATTCAAAACATATTTTATTACATTTGCAACGAAATCTGCTTCAAACTGTTTTTAAGCAGATTCTGCACTCATTTCCCCCAACATTTAGTCATAATGCCGTCGAGAGACACACTGTACTTGTGGTTCAGGTTAGTATGTTAGCTTGTGGATAACTGTAGAACTGAACTAATACTCTACCATCAGTTGCATCGTCCCTGTTCAATGCCATCATGGAATCACATGGGGCTGCAATTAAGGCAAATTGGTTTACATCGCAAAATCTTGGCAATTGCTATATTTACCAGACAGAATGAAAACGATTGTCCAGAACTTTAAACTGACTTTTTCCTTTTGCTTATTTTTTAGGCAAGTAATGTAAAAATAAAGGCCTATATGTTTAAGTCATAACAGTAAATGGGGGGTATTGACATTTTAGTGGGAGAGGTGCATCAAGTTTGTTTGTTGTCAGCACAACAACAAACAGAAACAATAAAATATCCCAAGTTAAAAGCTGATGAGGAAATGGAGCATGGCCAGGTGGATCCATAAATAACACAATGTTATGCCTGGACTCTGGTTCTGATTAATGATAAACGGCCGTCTGCTAGATATCTGCCATTTTCTCTAATGCATCAAACTAGGAAAGCACACATTTTGCTTGAAAGATAGACAATCTTACTAGGTCCTTGAACAAGGAGAACTGACAATTTCTTTTTTTCTGCTGACACCTTAGCTCTCTCCTAGCAGAAGATGGCGCATTAAAATGGAAAAAAAAAAAAAACAAACAAACAAAAAAACACATCAAGAGTAAGGCAACTATTATTTGTATCCAAATTCTAGTTGTCCAGTAATCCGGGTGACAGGTTATTTTTTAAGTAATTCTTTTGTAGCCTAAATGACAACAATTAGCCCTGGCAACAATTTTTTTTTCTTTTTTAGCTAAAAACTCATTGCGTATTTGGTTGAATCCATTACCCAGTCCTGTAGTTTTAAATATACTCAGACGTAAATGTCCTATTTGACAAAAGAGTGTGTTTCCAAAACCACTCAGATTGGGTTGTTTTTACTTCAAAAGTATTCAAAAGGACTTGGTCTCAGTTTTTTATTTTGCTTTTAAGTAATGACCTCTTAGAAATAAAAGCAAAGGTTGTTTTTAGCTGGGTTTTTTTCTCCATTTGACTTAAAGTGTTGAACTTAAAGTATGTGTACACATGTAAATCTCGATGAGAAATACAAGTATAACCCACGAAAGACAAAATGATAAATGACATGCAATACACACATTTCAAAAGACAAGCATAAAAGACATGCAAGTTAAAGATTTGAATTTATTATGCAGAAATATGTTTTCCATCAAATGTAATGCATTTCATTCTGTGATACCAGGATCTTGTGGTTTTTTGTTGTGCCGTGTTAGAGTGCCCTCGACCATAAAACGTCACAGATAAATTTAGAAACTGTTACATTATATTTGATGGGAGGAATCCCTACAAATTAGATTGTCATGCAAACAGAAGAAGATGAGACTATACAGTGAATGTAAAGAGAAATGCTACAATATATACGCAAACAAAGTCAGTATGACAGACAAAGACATGCATACACCTTAGATCTGAACCTACAGACAACAGTTATGGACAGGTACTGAAAACAAGATGCACAACAAAGTAAATGTTGAGTAGAAGAACAAAAATAAAGAAACATGCACATTTTAAAATACTAATCTCAAGCTAAATATTGATGTCATGCATGCTAGTATTCAATGCAGATTTCACCCACAAACTATTATTCACAAGACACTTAAAACGGAAAGAGATGCAGTCTTACAAGTTTGTTTTTTACCTTCACTATCTGACATTGTGCCCTGAAGATCATCCAGCAGCACATAACTCCTACCCCTTGTTGGCTCTTCTCGTATATGTTGCTGCTGCTGGGAATCTTGTAGGGACATGCAGGAACCAAATTGGTCCCTCGAGTCAGCTGAAATAGGAGGCAGGGGACCAGCTGACGCACGAGCCATGCCCATTGGTTGACCAACAGGGCTTAACGGACTCTCTTCCTCTGAGTTCTGTGCCACGATAGGAATTCGTCCACGACTGCTTTGCACAATTGGAAGGCTGGTGGGCTTGGTGCGACCAGAGGGGGTTTGATAACTTGGACCGTCTCCAGATGACTCTCCGTCTCCTTTAAGCCTCAGTGAAGAACTCGAAAGGTCCCTTTTGATTGACAAGTCCAGGCCGTAGCACGAAGTAGGTCTGGATGAGGGTCTTGACCGGCTACCACTAGGATAAGCAGAGTCCAAGCCCAAGCTCTGGCCCAAATTTAGGGATCCAGCTAAATTGGCTCCCAAGGTAGACCCAAGATACTTTTGTTGCTCTGCAATATTCTTTCGAAGGCCGAATGTAATTTCATCCTGCAGCAGCCTGCTGGATCTGGGCGATGCACTGGTAGAGCCCAAATAGTTATAATCAGTTTCCAAACCCCTGTTGTCTGTTATAGAGGAATACTTGGAGGAGATTTTAGGATCTAGTATTGGAGTTTTGTGCTTTTGGTACAAAACTGATGCTGGGAGTTGTTTTGCTGCCTGCTTCTCAAGAGTAAGTCGACTGATGCTGTATTTGTCTGACTTTGGATAGTGTCTTTGGGAATAACTAGAGACACCAGTGCTTGGAGTATAGTAGTTTTGGGAGAGACCCGTCAGTTGTTCTAAGCTTTCTGTGCCACCTGTACTTCGTCTAAACTCCTGCTTGAGCTGCTGCTTCAGGAGTTTTAATTCATAGGGTTCCTCCATTGTATCCTCTTCATCAGGAGTCTTTCCAAAAGCATGGAGCCTAGAGGTGGAGCCCAGATAGTCAGTAGACCCAAGATCTGCAGCACTTCTACGCAAAAGCTTCTCTGCCTTAGCCAGTTCCCGCTCGGCTAGACTGTAAGACGAAGACAGACCTGTGGAGGTCTTAGCTAACTCTGCAGCGTCTTCCAGCAGCATGTAGCTCCGAGGTGTGTGGTGTTCCACCTCTGTGTAGTAGGAATCAGAAACGGCTGACATTGGGCTACCTGCTATGCTTCCCACCTCCAGGGCTCTGAGGTCTAGATGGTTACCGTATTTGTCATATTTGACACCAAGATAAGCTGACGACGTGGGATCAGGCTGACGGCTAATGACATCGTATTTAGTCGCATCGAGCTCTGACAGGAGAGCCGCTTGCCTTGCCGCTTTCTGCTGCAACAAAAGCATCTGCTGGTAACTCTGCTGCTGGGCAGTGGTAAGTGAAGGAACAGAGGAGTAGATGGAGTGAGATTGGTACGACTGTGGAGTCTGATAGATTGACTGCTGGTATTGGCTTTGAGGATATTGGTACTGAGAGTATTTTCCATACTCATGCTTGGTTTGGGGAGGAGCAAAATCATCAAGTTCTGAGTGAGGAGCTGTTCTGGGGCGCTCAAGAAGGTGGTCCTCTATGTCCTCATCTTCACCACCATCTTCGACACTCCTGGTCTCTCGGATGTTACTAACCTCACTGTCTGACATGTAATCTCTATCCTCTGCGACACTCTGTAAGTAGGCCCTTTCTCTTTTCTCCCTTTCCTTTAAAAGTGCATCTTTTCTGCGATTGATCCCCATCTCCAAATACCTCAGCTTAGCATCAATCTCTTTCTCCTCTTCGTCGAGTTCTGCCTGTCTTTTGCGGAGCTTGGAAGACTCTCGCTCAACCAGATCCAGCTCCCGATCAATGTCTTGTAAGATCTTGGCACGTGCCATGTTTGAATTTCGGCACATTCTTCGGCGAGCTGAGTTCGTGGTGTATGCCGTCTGTCCACTTGTTGTTGACTCTTCTTCAGAGGGGGGATTGGGAAGAGTCCTTTTCACCTTCTTTTGCGTCTCGGTGGGTGTGCCGCCTGATCCTTTCCCCTATAGCAAATAAAATGGTAACATAGAACCTTAACACCCAAACATGTTTGAATATCTGATAACATTTATAGTGTCTAATCTGTAAAGGCGGGGCTATCTTTGGCCAGTATTGCTTTCTTGGGTAAGTGATGGTAGGTACTTGTGTATCACCATTTTTTTTCTGTTTCTGCATTTATTCCCATAAAAGTCACAAAACGTTGATGTGTACTCTACAGTCCAACAAAGTAGTTATTTGTCTTTCTTAAAACTTGAGAGTCAACATTTCTTTCTGCATGTTCAGCTTATTTTAAACAACAATTAATGAAGGTATGGAATTCTCACTGCTTAGGGAGAATTTTTTTCATATCTTTTCATGAAATTTGCTGCGACAGAAAAAATGTTTTCCTTAAATATACTTAAATCCATTTTACTCATTACAAAGCAAATGGGAAAAAAAAATTAACACCAGCAACATCCTGCTCATTTCTTTACCTTTGTGCAAGTGTCTGACATTTGTCACAGTGGTGTGGGAGAATGCGATACTCACCGGATGGCCATCACCACACTGCGTACCAGATGTTGCCCTTTCTTCTCCTGTTGGACTCATGGGCTTTGGGTCAGACATCGATCGCTGCATGGTTTTGTGTCCCCGAGGACTTGCTGGAGAGGATTTTGATGGGTCTATGCTTTCCCTTAGCTTTTGTGGGCTGGTATCGCCTAGGGACTTATCATAGGACACAAATTCAAGGGATTTGCTAGGTGATATACATGGTGATACAGGAGAATATAGTACTTTAGGCGATTTAGGATGCCCTTGAAGGGAAGAAAATTCTGGTTTTAGGTTTGCAGACTGGGCTATTTCTAAGGGAGTAGGGCGTTTCTTTGGTGAGGTCCTTTCTGAATCTGACACCTCCATTCTAGTGTCCATTCGAATATTCCCATCCGTGTCAGTTTGTATAGAAATTTCAGTGTGGGCTTGAAGAGACATTTCTGATCCCCCACCCCTATCACCTCTAGCAGTACGGGGACGGCTTTGTCGACTTCTCTGGGCCTCCCATTCCTCTTGATCCTCATCATCAGTCTGGACGCAGCTATCAACACTCTTTTTAACACTTTTCTTTTTTCTTCCTGCTGTGTAAGCTTTGCTTAGTGCTTCGTCCTCTTCATCTGTCTGACATCCGCTATCTGTGATTTTTCGAGAAAGCACTGTTCCATCAGGTCCTAGGACAATGGCCTCCTGTACGCCATGACCTGGGATGTCTGCACCTGGGTACATCTGACGAAGCTTTTGCTCTTCCAACTGTAGCCGCAGTTGTTCTTGGAGTCTTTGTATTTGCTCAAGTTGCTGCTGTTGTTGAGCATACGTTTCCTTTTGCATCATCAGATGAGCCTGTCTTTCCTCCTCCTGTTGAGTCAGGATCTGCTGCTTCATGGCTTGCAACTCTTCCAATTCCTTCTGTACTAGGAGTTGTTCTTGCTCACGGAAGCGCTGGATATTCTGCCGCTCCCATTCCAATTCCTCAGCTAAGCGCTGCTGCTTCAGCTTTTCCATTTCTAGCCTCTCTCGCTCTGCCTGATACTGGCCATCTCCAGGAACCATGGGGGACGAGAGAGCTTCCAGTGAAGCGGCTATTGCCTCCAGGGATGCATCTGTATATGTGTCAAGGGATAAAGATGCAGCTGCTGTAGCTGTACCATTGACAGTAGCAACACCTCCCTTTGAGATCTCCAGGTTAAGAGGAGCATCTCCTTGTTCTTCTGTTGTGGAAATGGTAGAGAGAAAACTGTGGGATCTTGTAAGTGGTAAATTCTGGAGATTGGACAAAGAAGGCATGGTATCACTTGTGTGCATACCTGAAAAGGTATTATAAGCTGTACTAAATATGGATCCTGGTTGAGTAGTAATTGCATATGTTGATGGGACTGGCGCTGCAACAGATGAGTAGACCACTCCATTTGATGACCTTAAAACACTACTTGTCCCAAAGAGTGAACTGACAGCGCTTGTGGCACTTGAATGGGAATATGGGGGGATTGTCATTCCTGCATAACTGCCTTTCTTGGAGTAGTCAACAGCTTCACCTGTCAAAAGTCAAAAATATATTTTTAGTCCATGTTTTTTAGACAATTCATTCAGAATCAAGCCATGCCTTCAGCAAATAAAAAAAATGCTGCCAAGATAAAAAACAAAAAACCAAAAAAAAAAAAAAAACAATAGAGGTGGAAGAAGCAAAACAGGCACATGCAAAAAAAAATATGTTGAATGAAAAACACAATAAAATCCATGCAAAATAAAGCAAAAGAAATGAAAAGTCCACATTAGCCATGAATAAGTGGAGGCAGTTCAAAGTGACATTTAAGTGACAGATCCGCAATGTCACTGCACTGACCTGCATCTGATATCTTCGCTGAGGTCAGATCTACTGCTCCCTCTGTTGTGACACTGAAATTATAACTGTTCTTACTCTTGTACATGAATAACCCAGCTTCTGCAAGATTGGTGTCTGACATGGAGGGCTTAATTCCACCAAACCCTCTCATGCCATAAGGTGTTCGGTCAAATTGATAATGGTCATCACGATATCCAAAACGATCCTCAGGCAGAGGCGTGGTGGGCTGCTGAGTTGCACAACTTCCTGCAAATGGCAGCTTGTACACAACATCGCAGCACACAGCTCTCTTCCCTGCTGTTAGATCCACTGGTTTGCCGTCGTCTGCGATTACGGTTGTAAACACGTCTGCAGATGTCACGTCAACCGATACCAAAGTATTGAAAGGTTTTGAGGTACTAAGATCAACAGCTCCTGCCACTGTGGTTCTTCCTGTAGTTAATCCGTTGGCAACACAGGTTGCCACAGGAGGGACTGAAGCAGTGACTGGCATAGCTTGGAAACCTACTGCACCTGTATTCGATCCAACTGAAAGGTTAATTGGGATTTCTGCTGTTGCAAGAGTGGAGGGCTGAGACTCAACAGGTCGATATACAATTTGAGAAACGGGTTCAAAAGCCTTATTTTTTGTCAACTGAAGGGGCACGGACGAAACTTGAGAAACTTCTATGTTGTCACATTGCTGAATTGTGGCAGAACAGGTCACAATAGTGATGCTGTCAGCCACTATTGAAACAGTGGAGGATTCAGTGCTGAGGTTGACCACAGGTGATTGCACTGCACTGATGTGGCGACTGACATCACTCACAAAAGACTGGCGTCTTGAATCTGGAGCGGTGGACAGATCAACGCCATTCATGTTTGAATCTGAATCAACCTTAACAGTTCTAAGATCTACCACCTCAGAGGGAAGTGAGGCCGTTTCAGTCTGTGCTAGTATTTGAGGCTTAGGTTTCTCCATTGACATTGGGACATCAGTTGCTCTTGGAGCTGGTACTGGCGGTGGTGTTCTTTCATGAACAACGGAGACAGTGGTTCTTTGAACTTCCGTAGTAACCACTTGCGATATGAGGTTAGGCATAACAGATGGCTGTGCTGAAGCAGATATGGCCTCAATTATGTGACAAGAACTAGAAACGTGTTTCTCTGGGCTGCAAATCTCTTGTTTTTCAATAGACTCTGTGACACGTGTATACGCCAGAGGCACTCTGGTTGTCTGAGGAGGAGGGGTTGGTTGCTGTTGATTTTGCTTTGGATATGGGTGTTGAGGCTGTGGTTGATAATAACCCTCATGCTGACCCTGCTTTGAGGGAGACGCCGGTCCAGGACCAGAGGGGGCTTGAGTTGTGACACTGTCAACTGGAGAGCTAGGCTGGGATGGCAGTGTGATGACTACATACGTGTCACGAAGATTGCTGGCATATCTTGGGGAAGAAGGAGACTTTGGTGAAGGTTGAAATGTCTTGCCCTCTGTAGAGGGGCTCAAATTAAGGACTGAGTCATTTGGACCAGTGGGAAGTACCGTAGGTCTTGTTGGAAGAGGGGCATGAGCAGGTGAAGGTGGCTGTGAACCAGGCTTTGGTGCAATTGGTGGTTTGACACCATGTGCTGATCTGTGACTGTCCACAATCCCATGAATAGCTGGCTTTGGAGGAACAGGAGGTGGAATATGAGGTTTGTACGTTGGAGTAACAACTTGTCGAACAGGCGATCCTTGGGGTGACGTCATAGTCACCGGCTCAGATTTTTTCACAGGTGCTGAAGCCTGAGGTGGAAGTGGAACTGGGGCTTTCCTGGGAAAAACTGTGGGTTTTGGTGGAGTGGGAGGAGGCTGGGGTGGCGCAACAGGTTCTTCTCCTTTTTCCTGAGAATTAGCCCGGCGCAAAATATTTGGCTTAGGGGGCACAGGGGGAGCTGTTGACACTACACTAGATATACTAGGTGTGTATTGGGGGACTGTTGGTAGCGGTGACACATTAGCAATAACAGAAGCTGATGATCTCGGAACAGTACTAGAAAGGTCCACAAGTTCAACCTGAGAAGTAGAGGTTTCATTGTCGGGCTGCTGTTCTGTCTGTTCTGTTGTGGTTGAAGGGGACATCTCAGATGCTTCTTTTACATGTTGAGATTGCTTTTCTGATGTTATATCTGATGTTCCCGTCACCACCTGTTCCTTTTTAACTGTAGTTTCATCATCAGAGGATAACTCTCCAGAAGAGCATTGTGTTACCTTTAAGTCTGGAATAGGGTGAAGAACCTTTTTTGATGAAGTACTTTCAATTTCTGGCTCAGGCTGAGTTGGGCTTGTTCCTGGAGTTAGAACTCTTTTCATCAACTCCTCGTAGGCTGCTTCGGCATCCAACAGTGGCTTCCCGTCTTTGCCTAATGTCACCGTGCCGCTTTGTAGGAAGGTGCTTTCAGCTGGTTGAAACACAATTTTTGGATTAGGGGCTTCATTTTTTGGCTTTATATTTTCATATTCCTGTTCTAGCTGCATGAATTCCTTTCTCTTCTTGATCATGTCCTCATAAACTTCATCGGGCGATCTCAGTTTTTTGGGTTCAACAGGAACAGACATTTTCTCCGTCTCTTCCCGATCAAAAGAATTGTCAAGAAGAGATGGATAAATATAGTCTTCGATAAGCATGCCACCATATACCGTTTCCTTTTCTGCTTGAATTTCACCTGTGTCGACTGTTGGGGATTTAGCCTTTAGCATGATTTCTTCATAGGCCTCATCAGCAGATTTGAGAGCTTTCTTCTGAGATTTATCAGTGTTTTGATCATCTGTTGGGGAGTGAAGAGATACAGATATAGGCAGCCGATATGTTTTTTGCACTTCTGCAATTTTTGCGGCATGGATCTCAAATCCTTCAGGATCTGATTCAATACTAGGGGAAAAATCGGAGCAGGACGACCGTCTGATCTCCTCCATTTCGGCTTCCTGTCTCTGTTCTTCAGTTGGTGAGGCATCTTCAATTGGAGAAAGGTTGCTCGGAGGTGTCTTTGTATGCTCTCGCCTTCTTTGGGCCCGAATCTCATCCTTGTCTTTCTTGGACTTTTTTCCTGAGCCCTTTTGCTTTTCTTGCTCCCTGAGAAGTTCCTCCTCCTCCCTTAACTCTTCCTCCTCTGATGAGTCTTCAATAGTTGGTAGCATTTGCCCAGTTTGTCGGTGCTTGGCTTTTCTGTGCCGTTTACCCTCACCGGTACGAACATGACTTGGGCTGCTGTCGCTATCCTCGTCCATGGATGAAAGAGACGTCGGCGATGTTCCAGGAGTGAAGCTAGATGCATGTAGACTAGATGACCCTTCACCCCGAGACCGATCATCTGGAGAGTCTGTTAGACTTTCTATTTCAGGCTCTCCATCTGCACTAGGTATACATATAGGGCTGCTGGTTACATTCAGCTCAAAAGTTTGTAACTTGCGGGGTGCAGAAATTCTTTGATCTTCCTCTTCTTTTTGTTCCTTCTCATCCTCTTTGATAATATCAGATTTGTCGGCTGACACTGTGAATTCCTGAACGTCATCATCATCGGGACTAATAGTAGTTTTCTTAGTTAGCCGTCTTGTTTTTCCTGATATGCTTTTCTCTTCTTTCTTCTCCTCATTTGGCTTCTTCTCGTCATCTCTAATCTTTCGCCTGACTAAGCTTTCTTCGTCCGATGGAGAGGCGTCCTCATTCTCACTCATTTCTATGATCTGTTTCCTGATGAACTCCTCATCATCTCCGGACATCGGGCTTTCTTTTCCAAAACTTTCGCTGCTGTCGTCCAAGGAATCTGCCTTGACATCAATTGGCACAAGAAGCTTTTTCTTTCCAGTACTTTTGGCATTCTTCTCTGAAAGGTTTTTATCCTCTTCTGAACTGGGCGAATCGGGTGAGAGAGGAAGAACCTCCAATTTGCGTCTGGTCTTTAAAGTATTGGTCTGTTTCTCCTCCTGCTCTGTGTCTACCTGGGCCTCTAGAATGGGAAGCACAGAGCTTTCTAGTTTTGCCAGGTCTGATGGGCTTGTGAGATTGTCTTCTTTAGCTTCTTTCAACTCAGGCTGTTTCAAGGTCTCCTCTTGTTTGATCTGGTAAATAGAAAGAAATTCATTGTTACTTTTGGCAGTAAACAATCTTTTTCAAAAAAAAAATTTTTCAGTATTCTTGTACGGGGATGGCTTTTTTCTTACATACTGTAATGAAAAGTTGCAAAAGAAATTTTAATCTACAAAAAACCATTTGGTTGACTATATTAAAGCACATGTTCTAAAACATATTACAAATACATTCGACTATGTTTGAAAGACTTTAGCTATTTTCAACTAAAATTCAACACTGATAACTATTTCCATCTCCTATATGCTATTAGTTTCTACACCCAATTTAGAAAATATAGCAGAAATACACAAGGGTTTAAGAATCTAACGCTACACTCGCTAGACATTATGGTCACCTCAGTAACTGCATCGTCATCGCCATGCTTTTCCACATGCTTAGTTTTTGCATCCATTTGCTCCTCCGTGCCTTCCTCCTTCAAACCGGCATCGTTCTCACTAACTACAGACTGGATTTCAGATTCTGCTAATGGGATTGAAGGTACTACAGCAGGCACATGGTCTGAAGCTTCACGCTTCTCTGAAGTGGAGCTCACTTCTGCATCAAACACTGTATTGCAATCTTTGTCACACACTGCACTTGCTTCAGATACTGAAATAGCTTCCTTCAGGCTGCCAACGACAGCCTGTGACTCATCCTCTTTCTTGTCAGTTTCTGCCTCCCTATCCTTGACTGATGGCTCAACAACTTCCTCAGAGTCATTTTGATATTTTGTGGCACTCAACCCAGCTTCTGCCTCACCCTCACAGTCTTCCTCCTCACAGGTTTCATCACTGGGTTTTGTTGTTTCGATGGTATCGGCTGAGGTTAGCACAGGTTGTACACTTTTAACTGGCACCTCAGCAGCATTCGCTTCTTGCCGTCTTGATTCGACAGATGGTGGATCAGAGATAACCGCTGCTTTGTCAGACTGTTCATCCATCTCTGAAGTGCTATCCGCCAGCCTTTGTTTTCTTGTCCGTGGTACAGCCTCTGCTACTGCAGGAGAGTCTTCTTTTTCTTCGGATTTCTGTAACGACGCCGTCGTCGTCTCAACAGGGCTTCCTTCAACAGCCTCAGACTTGGTTTCTTGCTGTATATCTTTATTTATGTGAGCATCCTCTTTCGGCATCTCCTCTGGGACAGTTACTGCTGCAGCACTTTCTTTTTCTACCTCCATTAGAATATTTTCAGCATCATTGCTGACTGCTCCAATTAAGCATGCTTCATCATCATGTTTTCTGAGAACTTTTTGGTCATCAACTGTTTCTTTTGTAATTCCCTCCTCTTTTAATGATTCCCCCTCCTCTGACTTCACTTCTGCTGGTTCTACTGTGCCTACTTTTACTTCAGCATCAACTCCCACTAGTTCATTATCTTTCTCAGGTGTTTTATCCAGAGCAATTTTCTTGTCATCAATAATTTTCTCAGAGTCTTTGGTTTCATCGGCGCTCTCTATTTTTGCTTTCTCTTGAACATTAGTTTCTTTCTCTAATGGAGCTGCAACAGGAGAGACATCTACCAAACCTGGCTCCTCTTCGTTGTCTGTAGTCTGTTTTCTTGTTTCAGCTTCCGGACCAGCTTCCTCTAACACTTCAGGAGAATTTTTATCTTCAATGACCGAAGAAATCTCTAATTCTGTATCGTTTGCTGGTGTTGCTTGTAATGCTTGCCCTGTGTTGTCATGTGCATCGACTTTGGCAGCAGGGTTTCCAGAGCTTATCAACTCTGATGCTGACATATTATCTGAAGTAACATCATTACAAACAAGTGCTGCAACAGTGTCTGCCCCTGATTCTTCAATGATGTCTCGTTTGTCGATCTCTAACTTTGCGTCTGTTAGAGTTACCTCTGCTGGCATATTTTGGGGTTCGTCAGTCGAAACTCCACATATTTTCTTTTCGTTTTCGTCGGTCGCAGTCGAATCTGGCTTTACCGGAGGTGAAGCCTCCTCAGTGACTGTGTCATGGATCACCGAAGCAGCTGGCTCAACTGTCGCTTCTGGAAGCGTCTCAGGTGTCGACTCGACGGCTTTATGATCTTCTGCGGGAGCGGCACCCTCGCTTTGAGCAGTCTCGGCGTCCGAACCAGTTTCTACCTTGACAGAGTCAGCTGTGGTGTCTGAAACAGCATTTGTCGATCGGCTTTGTGTTTCATCTTCAACAGTTACAGACAGACCCTCTGCCCTAATGTCAATGCTACCTTGTTGCTCGACTGCTGGGACTTGACTGGCAGGTCCACACTGTGTTTGCGCTTCAACATTAAGAACCTGTGTGTCAGACTGGGGATGATTCTCTGCCGCTTTCTCACAGCTACTCTGTTGTTCCTCAGCTGCTAGAATTTGACTGACAGTTGCGCTCTGTGTTTGTTGGTTAGTGTCAGGTAGCTCTGTGTCAGGAGGAGGACTGTCCTCTGCTATGTTCTCAGAACTGAGCGGTTTGTCCTCAACAGGTGGGATGTCTGAGTTTATCTCAGCTAAACTCTCTGAATTTAAAAGCTGCTGATCAGACGGCGATTCATCTGCTAATGAGAGCGTTATCAGTTCTTCTGAATCAGGCGTTTCCTGAGGGACGGCCTCTACAGGAGTGTGTGTGTGTTCAGGTGAAACTGGTGTGGGTGCATTTGCTACCTTGATCTCGGTAGCAGGTGGGGTTGGATCTACTGGTTCAGCTACAGGTTTGCTATCTACAGCAGCAGGAAGTGGGGTGGTGGAGAGGTCGGGGGGCGAAGCGGGTTCTTGCTTCTTTGTGGACGCCGTGGATGGTGGAGGGACGTCTCCCAGCTGGCCTGACATTGCTTTTTGAGTCTGACAGTTCAGGCAAAGCCATTCCTTCTGCAAGACAAACACGATGATAAGTAGTCAGTAAATCCAAAGCCTCCAGATCTGCTTAACAATGACACAAGTTTCTCATGAGGTGTTCAAAGTTAACAAAAAAAAAAAATCAAAAAATGCTTTTTTTGTTAAGTATTTCATAAATTTTTGTAAATGTGTTCAATAATTTTTGCCCACTTATTTCATCAGAGTTCCTGATAACAATTGATGGGCTTTTTTTTTTTTTTTGTCATATTTTGGGGATTTGTGTCCAACATTTTATGTGGATTTTATGCTAATAGCCTCACTAGGAAAAAACTAATTAGAAACATGTAAATATTTGTAAATGTAAACGTATGCAACAATACACTCAGCATCAACACATTTCATCGGAAAAACACAACATACAAAATATGTCATTGAATTTTTCTGACTGTACGCATGTATAAACTTTAAGCTGGCAGGAGAACTGCACATATTCCATTCAAAGCCCTGAGTCTTGTTCTAATAATACACATTTTGCTGTTTATGCAAAGTACAATAGGTGGCTACAAAACCCTCTTCGAAATCACCTGGTGCTAAGTGTCTTTATAGCTGTGTTGTCATGCTGCAACTGTTCCATTAGTGTCATCTATCCCCACGTGTTTGCTGTAAAACAGTACTCTAGCGGAAGATGCTTTACGTAAACTGAACGCCCTCCTGTGTGCTTCTATTCAAGATGTGGATCTATTGTTGGTATGCAATGTCCCATGCTGCTTTGCTAAGGCGGAAAAATGATAAGCAATCGATACGGTGAGACTGGAGATCAAAAAATAGCGCAGACTCGCACACTCTCGACATATTCTTGAGTAGACGCGAGGCGCAAACAAATACCTCGGTTCACAGTTTGACAAGTGTGCTAACATCCTTCAATAACCTACCCCGACAGGATTTAGTGCTAAAAATGAATTTCAGAGTCACGCAGTCCATCTCTGGGCGTGGAGAGCTGGAGAAACAGCAAGACAGGAGGGAGGTGGAAGACGATGACAGAGGGGGGAATTTAGCAGCAGCTCAGCTTGATTAAATAAGGCATGAACCGCCATGTTGTTGCCTATGCCTTGGAATGATTAACACACCTGCATGTGGATTTCTCTAATAAGAGCATGGGAAGGCAACCAAAATGTTGATGGACAAAGTATAGAGATGCACTGCTTCCTGACACAGAACCACGATGCGGGGGGTTTTCGGCGAAATGACTAGAAAGAGCAGGCACTGAAAGGTAGAGAGAGATATGGCTGCAGATAGAAACACTCACTCAGGCTGTTGGTGAGCTCCAGCCTCCTCAGAGCCTGTCATCACCGACGTTATCGAGAAATTTCAACGGGAACGTCTCACTACCCGTTCCCCTTGGTCACTGTCTCTCTTAGAGCTACTGAGGGGAACTGAGCCAACTGCAGCCTCCACATAGAAATAGATTCCTTTCAACTTTTCGCCAAAGAAAAGGCAAGGCTATTAAAAAAGAAAAAAAAAAAAAAACTGAACATGTATAAAAGCAACACACACAAAATCGATGGAGATTTCATAACTTACTCAGAAGAACGGACATTACTCCATGAGTCAATAATTTTTTTTTTTTGACAATTTGTGATAATTTGCTTCTTACTAATCCATTTAATCAGTCTGTAACCATCAGCAAAGGCTATACAAAATCCATATTTATATACAGAATAACTAGTTTCAGATCAAAATATGACCCCTAAAGAGCCCCACAAGAAAAGTCCCAACAATGAGATTGATACACACCCACTTGCACAAATAACTGCTTGTTTCTAAGCACCAATCATCTGATTGCGTACTGTTCTAATTTATGAAACAGTATGTTGTGATAGATTGGGTCAAGTACTTTTTTAAGGCCAATGACAACCTTTGCATTTCTTTGGATCCATGTTAGTTTTTATTTCTCCAATAAATGTAGTCCAGGTGTGGCAGCCCATTTCTATGGAAGCCCATTTCTGCCATGAAAGAAAAAAATAAAAGGCCAACAGGAAGTCATAATTATGAGATTCAAAGTCATAATTATGACTTTGAAAGTCGAAATTATGACTTTGAATCTCATAATTATGACTTCGAAAGTCGAAATTATGACTTCCTGTTGGTCTTTTATTTTTTCTTTCATGGCGGAAATGGGATTCCATATAATGCACTTATTAAGAACAGAAAAAGAGTTTTCGCACTGTTATGACTTTTGCTAATTTTATTTTGAGGCCACAACAGCAAAATGAAGGCTTGAGGCACATGATGAGAACGAAATTTAATTGTAACTGAACTCATGAAAGCAACAAAACAGGCTGGCGACAATAAAAGAGGATCTTGGACTGAATGAGAAAACCAAAGAACTCCTTTTGACAGGGAGATTGATTCCTGGAATTCTAAAAAAGGTGAGTTAATTAGCAGATGAGAAACAACTGGGTAACGCAGGAAGCTGAGGCACTAGTGGAAGGTGCTGAGTAAATTAGGGAACACAGAAAACAATCACGTCAACCAAACAGGACAGAAATGCAAGTTTGGGGGAAAAATGAAACTCAAAATACTGCAGATTGTGATAAAAACTGAGATGCACATTGTATTGTGAAACTCTGTCAGATCCAGCAATAAGTATGCTTTCCTTTTTTTTCTCCTTCTTGTTAAAGAAAAGAACAATGTTAGAAGAATTTTATCCAACGTGATTTCATTCACTTTTATTATCTAAAGCTTTCGATAAAATTAAAGTCTGAATGTTGTTGCCCTTCTTCTCACTGATGAGTTTCCATCTTAATTATAATGCATCAAGCTGCTGGTGGAACATTACAGCCTCAGCTCCTTTGCGAGCCAAAAAAGATCTTTGCCTATTGATGTAGTTGACACTGTCTGGTTCGGTGGGCTGAGATCAAATGGGTCCTCTTTTACTAATATACACCAGGTATTTCTTATTTGAAAAACGAAACTAAATATGGAGTAGAATATATTTCATCCAAAATTAATAAGAGACAAAAACGAAGCTCATTTAACTCTTAGAAATCAAACTGCAGACAAAAAAACCAAAGAAACGTCTCGGCGCAACGCAGCACTGGCTCTGGCTTCCCACACCAGTAACTAGGCAACATTTCAATATATCAGATATTGTTCAAGCTTTATTGAAGAAGTGACATCTCCGTCTCTGATCAAAAGGTGATTCCAAGCGCCAAGAAGCTGCCTTGCACACCTTCATCGTATTTTTTTTTTAACAATACGGTTCATGTTCACGAAATGATTTTTGCCAGACAATAAATTTTAACCAATAAATGCAGTGGAAGTGACTCACAGATATGAGTCACGAGCGCTCAGACAAATTACAACAGTCAGGTTGTCAGGCTCTGTACTCCTTACAGCTGCAGCGGGTGATACCCGTATCTTTTATGACGCCGCCTTCCCACTCCCCCCTTCGTTCACTCGGGCTCCTTTTTTTTTTTTTTTTTTTGTCACAGTAGCTTATTGTCTCTCCTCTCCTCTGGCCTGTTCTTATGATTTCTACGTCGAGACGTTATTTTGTTTGTACTCCTCATGCCACTGCACAACAAAATTCCACTGGTATGCAAGTGTTTCAACGAATCCGCTAAATATAAAAGATCACATCTTATAGCGCTCCAAAAATATACTGGATTTTCGTTTTATGTTTTGTGCATAAAGAGTTATTTGCAGTTTAGACCTTTTGCTTGTTCCAAGCAGTTTTGTTGGTTTCTCCATATATCATCCGGATGCATTTAAAAAAAAAAAAAAAAGAGCCAGTATGTGAATAGGTGGGTGGGGGGTTGGAGTGAAAGAGAGAGCAGCGGCAGTCAGGATGTAACAGCCTGTACTAACAAGATGAGGCTGGTGCCAGAATGTGTGGGTTTTTAAGTCTCAGTGAGGTTCTGCCTGCCTGTCCTCCAGTCTCTGATGAAGGCTCAGTGCTGGCACGCTGGATGCCACCACCACCACCTCACCCCTCCAACCATTCCTTGGCACAAAATGCTCAGTAGCTAAAATATGGCTCTGGTCCAAAGCATGCAGAAATTAGTAAATTAGAAAAGGGGATGAGGGAAAATCCTTGTGGAGGGCTAACTGTCCAAACTGCCACTTGCTAAACCCGAAAAAAGATGCGGTGCATTGCAAAAGTATTCATATCCCGTTTAAAATGTACACCTTTTAGGTATTTTCAGAATATGTTATGCATACTAAAAGAAAGCTTACACACAACTGTGATATTGTTGTTGAATACCGCGATGACCATCAGTTGCAAAAAGCAATCTTTCATTCCCGTTCCCATCCGCTTCTGTGACTATTACATTTCAAATCAGGTAAAAGTCCATCTAAAAAGGCCGAATACATTAAGAGGGTGCAGAATGTAAAATGTATTGCCTTTGGAATATTAGACAAAAACAAAACTTCCCATTATTTTTAACATTCGCCGTGCGCATCCAGTCCGAGTGCGTTTTTGCCGTTTTTCGAAGATCCCTGGGTAAACGTTGCAAAAATGATAGAGGCATACCTCATACGACTTGTAATTAAAATGGAAACATCCAGTGTTTTTCCAAAGTGTTTGCTCGGATGAGTGGAACACAAAGGCACAGTGCACTTTTCAGATTTATTTTACAAATAATTTAAAAAAAAAAATGCATCATTTTCCTTCAGCTTTAGAGCCATGTAGTACTTTCTGTTTCTGTGACATTAAAATATATTGAAATTTGTAGTGTTAACATTACAAAACAATCCCACCTTAAGAGGTATGAACACTTTTGCAAGAGGCATTTATTTATTTTTTTTTTTTTTTGCTTGCACTGCACCTTCCAAATGAGTTAATTAATTCAACTAAAAGAATCCCACAAAGACTAAAATGTTCCCCATTTCAAATAATAAAATTATGGTTCCCACAGAATGACACTGTGATAAGAAAGAAGATAGTGGGAGGGGGCAGCCCTCGTGTTCTCCCCTCTCCTGCTTTAGTGGATCTCTTTTGTGGCTGTTACTATTTTTGCACACATCAGGCTTTAGGCCAAGTGATGGTGAGAGCTGTGAACACTGCAAGGAGTGAATACAGATTAAAAAAAAAATAAAAAAATTATATATATATATATATACACATAAACAGCAACAGTCCTCTTGTGTGATACTCAAAAAGAAGCGGACGTATTAACGATTAGAATACTAATGAATGGCAGGTTGGTGATAAAAGGCCGGCGTGTGCATCGTTGGTCTTTATCTGCCTGAGCAGATCATGGGGAGTTCAGAACGGGAGAAAATGTGGGACATGATCGCAGAACAACGATAAGGAGGAAGACAGAGTAATGTGGGAAAAATTGAGTAAAAAGATGTACGAATAACTGAATTTTAGCAATGACACCAACGATGGGCGAGGCATTTATTGATATTTAGTCAAACTGCGTAGTTCTCAAAAGCATTCATATAAACTTTTTAACTTTTTAGATCGTTCAGTAAAATGGATAGAAACATGGCCTTTTTTGTCCAAATTTATTTATTTATTTATTTTTTTCTCTCCGAGTCTCCACATGGGAAGGTTTAGGTGAGCAGCATTTTTTTTGTTCTAGAAATTCCCTGATTTTTTTAAAGATAAGCTTACTTTTGTTTCCTTTCCTTTGAAGAAAGGAATACGACATAGGTGTCCAACTTTTCCCACATTTTCACCCCATTAAACTTCCTCGATAACGATCAAATTAAACACATGTTTTAGGGGTGTCAGTTGTGATATTGGCAATTAGACAAAAAAAAAATGTAACCATTATTTCTGTGAGTAAATTTCAGCTGCAGAAATGTACTAATAAGTTCATACTTTCAATATTTCCAAATCTTCGGGGCAAAACTCGAGTGGCAATGATGGGAAGTTCATTCCCATCATTTATTCTTCCCTCCTCCCCAAGAGTGCACATCATGATGAACGGCATTTTGAAATCCATATGTAATACCTGCAGTAGAGTTGGTCAATTATTAATGTCCAACCAAACATCCCTGTCCCTGTCCCGCCTTTAAAACCCGACGTTTTAAAGGCCATGGCAGTGAGACCGCCGTCTGATAAAAACTGAAGCATAGCTGTAGATTTTCTCGCCGATGGCGAGACGAGATGAAACACTCCAACTCTTTGATTCGTGCTCGTTAGCAAAGTCGTGCCACTCCCGTCTTACGCAAGGCTCTTCCGACACGCGCTCTCGTTACTGAAAAGGCCAACATGACATGAAGTCTGATCTGGAGGAACATTGTTGCTCAGCGCCAGCCATACTTTTACAGAGATCCCCTTACATCAAAAACAAAAAAAGGGGAGACGGCGGGGGGAAGAAGAGCAGGACAAAAATAGATGGCAGTAAGAAGCACAGAAATAACTGAAATGATAGCTCACAGATAAACAACAAAAAAAAGGACATAACAGTGTGAAATGACAAAAATATCAGAGAATCAAAATCAGATGTGTTGTTGGCCTGTTCGAGTTGCATTGTTGGGAATTTAGACAAGAAGACAATGAAGCCTGAGAGGAGATGACAAACATCCTGCTGCCCTTGAAATCTTTTAAGGAAATCCAGATACCCCCCACGCCCCCGCAACGCACGTGGCGACATGCACGCCACGTGCGTGTAATTTATCTCAACAAAAAGACAACATGAAGCATAAATACCCGAGGCGTGCTGACAACGTAGCCACTTACAACATCACACCTACAACAGGTGAGGCGTCACCAGTCACGCGTCCATTCAGTGTTCCACAGTTCCGCTTACAAAAAACAAAACAAAAAAACACCTGCAGTTAAATATCCTGGCTCCTATTCCATGTACCCACAGCCACGCCCTCACGTGCGTCAGCGAGTCAACCTTTGCTGGCAGCTGACGTGACGACAGCGAGTGACACAGAGGTGACACACACTGCGTGGGGGGTTAGATGGCTCAACGAAAGTCTTGTGTGCAGAACATTCTGTATGCTGTTCATTTGTTCCCCCCCCCCCCCCTCCCCAAGTTGGATTTAAAAATGCACCTAGAGGTTCAGCTGTGTCATAGGTGAACGGAAACTAGGTGGCAATACTGAAAAGCTTTATGAAGTCTGGATGCCCATCTGGAGTTAACCGATCTGAACAGAGTTGACTTGTGAGGGATAAATGTCGTAAATACAGTTTGTGACATGACAGATTCTTCTGTGGTGGCAAAGCAAAATATCCTCTGAGCTCAAAGTGAAAATGACACGGTACGGGTAAGGGTTCAATAAGATGAACTGTCTACGTTTAAGTAGATATAAATATATATGTATTTTTAAAAACTAGTCTTAAATATTCCACTCTGAAGTACACCTAAATAAAGTGCTGGACCTTTTTGGAGGCCCCCGGGTCTTTGGAACAGAAACTGGCCCTTAGCATCACAGATACCCTGCCATGCTTAACAGCAGGCATCAGAATGTTTTCCACTGATGGTCCATTGTTTTTACACCATGTTTGTTATCAAAATGCCCAATCTTAATCTTATTTTGTTAAAATTCCAACTTTGTCCTGACAGTATAATATCAGACAGATCATTCTTGGGGTAAAAAAAAATAAAAATAAAAATCAAATCAGAGCATTACTGCTGTCAGTTAAACTAATGTATGTGCTGCTCACACCCTTTGTGAAATTTCCAGTCTAGGTCTTCGGTTTTCCCCAAAACTCCCTACTGTACATGGCAGCAGAGTTTAGGAAATGTCACACTTGTGATTCTTGAACAGAAAACATACTTTCTGTCACTCAGGTCATGTGCTGGCAATGAAACGAGAATCTAAAGATTGTCTTAGAGTCTTTGTTGTCCACTGTTTGATTTGGTTCTGCAACAGTGAGCTGGCATAATAGGCCTTTATTGTCCAGCAAACCGGAAAGTTGCACTGCAGGTATTAAACATTTGCAGAAACTAATGAAGCAAATGAAGTGAAAAACAGTTTGAGTGTCAATAAATGTGTCAGGTATTTGACGAAAATAAGTCTTACAATGGAAAGATTATAGCCTGTGATTATTTTTGAAGTTTCTGAATTTTTCAGTGTGAAGAATTCAAACTAGACGCATTTCAAAATTTTCCATACTGAAGAATTTTTTTAAAATGCCTGAAAAAAATTTAAGCATCAATGGCAGAATACCTAACAAATTAAAGGTTTTTATGTCAGTTTAAAATAAATATGCGTGATATTTTCAAGTACCAGGTTGGTTTGACAAAGACATGCTAAACAACCCAATTTTAAAAGGTAAGAAAAAACAAATGTTGGATGGAAATGGTAACGGTTTTAATTCCATTTTAGTTCTACTTCCCGTTACGGAAGAATTCCAGGAGAGCTATAAATATGCAGCAGATTACCTAAAGACAAAAATAAATCGAAGCTAGCAGCAACCACATCCTGCCAGTTACCAAACTCAAATGATTAACTGTGATCACTCCCCGTCAACACACATGTACATGTTATAAAATTAAACCTGGAGTATATATTTCTGAGCCTGTGTGCATAATCTTGGAGTAAATTCAGTTTTAGTTTTGAAAATGTTTACGTTTTTAGTTGAATAATCATTCTATCCTATAAAAAGAAATTCAAATCGATTATTAAAAGCCCAAAACTAATAAGGTGTAGATGCAGTGCATTAAACTATTGAATAGATATGCAAGTGTTGAGGAATAACAATGTAGTTAGGTAATCACAATATCCTGATTAAAGGTGTTTTGGAAGATGCTCATGTGGAAAATGAATCCCTGAAAACTTCTAATTCCATCTCTGTAGTGGGTAATTTTCATGAAACACCCAAAGGTTTGACATGTCTAGAAGGAACAACATAGAAAAACAACAAGAATATGTCCTTTGTTTAAAAAGCAAAAGGCGTAGTTAAGATGGAAAGTACTTCAGTAATAGCTTTCCTACCTCGTCTATATGAGGATTAGGATTAAATCCGCACAGATTGCACACGTTCTTCTTGCACTCGTTGCACACACTGTAGTTGGGGGCGTCTGATGAGCCAACGTTGAGCTCCAAGTTACAGAGAGGGCAGTTTCCCTTGGCAACTGAAGTTTCCGACTGAGCAGACTCAGCCACTGTAGACTTCTCTTCCTGCTCTGTGGCTGCGCGCCTGGGGGGCTCTCTGGACCAGGCAGGCGGGGTGTCCGGAGCGGAGTCGGAGTCCGGTGGAGATCCGGGTGCAGAGAAAGGAGAGTCAGGAGGAGAACCTGGTCTGGAGTTGGGTGACCCAGGCGGAGACTCGGGTGCTTTGGTTTCCTCTCCAGAGACAAGAGTGGTGGCTGAGCTCAGAAGCGATGAGCCGAAGCTGAACATTTGAGATGCAGCGGCAGGAGGTTTCGCTGACTCCGTCAGCCCTCCCAGACCCCCAAACAGCTTTCCAGCCACGGATTCTTCTTGTTTTGGCGTAGCCTGTGTGGGAGGCTTCGATGACTCCATCAACCCACCAAATCCACTGAATAGTTTCCCCGTAACCGACTCCGACGCTTGCGCGGCCGCTGCGGGGGGTTTAGCCGAATCCGTTAGCCCTCCTAAGCTGATGCCGCCCAAACCCCCAAAGAAACTCGATTCTTGTTTGGCTTTAGCTGGGGACTGCTGAGGGCTGGACCTCTGCTGAATGGGACGCCCTGTTTTGGGGTCAATCTTGGGCGACCCTGCCAATGAGGAGCCTGGAGAAAGGGGTCCAGGAGATGAGGAACATGGGGATTTCTGCCTTGGTGTCGTTGGCGGCGTTAGCCCTTGGTCGGAGGTGCTCTGCTGTTTTATCAGCAGCTTTCCGGGCTTGCCGCCTCGCTGAGGCGAGGGTGGGCCAGAGCCTTGCATGGGCTTTGACATGCCAGGAGGATCCATGCCTCCCATTGCTCGCTGCATCTGACAGTTCAGGCAAAGCCACTCTTTACCCTGCAAATGAAAGGAAGACAAGTCAGATGTTGTGGTGTTTGTGACCTTTGTTCATTAGTAGCTTGACAAGACAATGGGCAGGAAGAGAGAAAAACCAATTGCACAAAATCAGGAATCAAAACCTGGGACAGCTGCATCGAGCACCATAACCCTCACATACAGAAGGCCTGGTGTACAACATGTAACCATGACGAGTTAGATATAATTGAATCACATTTTTAAAAACTGCTGTGAGAGGAAGTGGTGTGTTCATGCTTACACAGTGCCTTGCAAACCTATTCATATATCTTTTCTAAAGAACAGCTTCTCAGCTATCGACCCTGCTGCAGTTTGGAGGAGCTTGATCAACATCGCTACCTATAGGGACCCATCACTACACGCTGTGACAATCTCGCTCCACGATGGGCTGAAGACCTCGACAGCTTCTTCTGCAAGTTTTAAATCCAATCATTGGCACCTCTAACCCACTTACCCGCAACCCACTCTCACACAAAAAACGATTACATGGACCCTTATACCAACAACTCCACAACTCGCTCCGCTCCCCCATGACTTCCTGTCTGCACTGAGAAAGGTGTAAACAGGTTTTTTCGGCGTTACAAGACCAGTAAAGCTTTCCTGATTCTGCCTGAAAGCCGGTGCTGACCAACTCGCCCGCATCCTCAGATTTAACAAGTCTCTGGAGCTGTGTGAGGTTCCCTCCATCGTCATCCCGGTCCCCAAGACACGAACCACAACATGTCTACAGGCTTGTCACACTGATGTTTGTGGTCATAAAATTCCTTGAACAACAGGTTTCGAAGGTCAGCCAGAAAGTTACCACTTGTGGTCCCAAAAACTCATTTTAGGATACGAGGTGATTGCTCATTTGAACTCGTAACGTCTATAAATTGTGAAATTCCCTAATATTCTCCTTACCCTGATTAATCTCAGTTGAAGATATATTTTTAAGCAGCCATTTAGATAGTCAGTTATAAACTCCCAATTACTATGTTTACTGACTTTTAGATTTTTATTGCTTTCCATCTGTTTTGTTTATTTTTCTGTGTTTCGTTTTCACTCTAAATCTTTATGCGACATTCCATCCGGTGAAAAGTGCTTTATAAATACAGCTCACTTATGAAATCGGTGTTTCCAATTATGCTTGATTCCGTCGCTGGGCAACCGATTTCCATCTTGAAAAAAAACATAATCCAAAATTCGCAACAGTTCCATAATTAATCAGAACAGCAAGCAGTTGGTTGCGTTCTAGTAAATATTAGCGCTAAAGTGGTTGGCTTTCATGGTGTCTACCGTTACAGAACCAAACACCTGTCTCGGAAAAAGAAAAAAAGAATGGAGGCCAGAGCCTTTTGTTTAGTGTTTGGCCATCTCTTTTGGTTTCCACAGCGTGGCAAGCACAGTGTTGAAAGAGCCAGCTGTTGACGGTTTGATCACCATCTAGAAAAAGAACAATGTGTGCATACCCATTTGCTACTCGTATGTTGGTGTGTTTGACATCTTAAAAGGCAAAAAAAAAGAAGAAAAAAAAAAGAAAAGAATGTCCTTGTTGATCCACACAGAAGAATGTCTTAAAGAATAGTTCTACAAAAGCAGGTTTAACTCCTGACCAACCAGCATTTACAGTTCATGTGTGAGTGAATGTCGTCACTCGCTGGCAGAGTTCCTTCCTGTGGCCATGATATGAGTCACCTTGATCAACATTCCCCAAGTCCATATGGCCACTCTGCTTCCCAGATCATGTGTGTTGCTCTTGAAAGCGACATGTCCTCTTTTGGATCAGGGAGGACCGACATACTGGACTCTGCTGTAGCTTCAAATTGAGCATCATAACCAGTTTTTATTTGAATGATCCGTTTGTACAATTTGCAACATTTATTAGATATGCACTAGTCTGGCTTTTTTTTTTTTTTTTTTCCTTTCTTGCTCTTACTGAATTCAAGGTCTGACTGAATCTGATTTTTTTTCTCCCCCTCTAACACTTAAAACAAAATAAAGAAAAAAAAAATATGTCTCTAGTCCCACAACTGAGATTTCAATTTTGAAATAAAACATAAATTAAAGATTATTGCCCTTCATGTGTAAAAAATATTTCTAACCTTTCAGAAAACTCAAAAGAGCCGAACTACACACACTTTCAGGTGTTTAACATTTGAAGCAGAGATAATTAAGAAAAAGTATTCAAATTCCAGTTCCTGATCAGTGTTTTTCTTGTGTGTGTGTGTGTATCCTTAATACATTTTTTAAATCTTTTTCTTTTTACATAATTTTCTAACTAGGTATTTTCTAACAATGATGACTATAATAAAAAATGACTGCAGATATGCGTACATAGTGTTCCTTTATATTCATTATCTTTCCTCAAAGTTTTGTTTGAGTTCGCTCAATATTGGCAAATAAATATGATTCATAAACTGATAAACTTGAATCAAACTGATACATTTTGCACTTTTTGGAGGTCTTATTCTTGCCGTTTAGCATGTAATGCAAACAGCAATGCCAGTGCATGATTAATGGTTTTTGTTTTTTCAACGAGAAATGCCAGAATAAAATCATTGCCTTTTCTACATGCATGGCATCGCTCACACCTGTGTATAATCCATTATGAAATCTGTGGCGGTATTATCTGTGACCTTTTGAGAACTGGAAAGCTCCCGGCTGTACATGTAGACAAAAATCACAAAGTTATCTCACTTTAGCTCATCGGCCAGGACATTATTTATCATTTGAATTATTTATCTATTTTTTAATTTTAAGAAAAATACAACTACAGTAAAAGAAAGAAAAGCTGTCAGGGTCTTACCGCAGAGTCTGGTGGGCTGAAGCCACACAGGCTGCAGACCTGGTTCTTGCACTCAGTGCAGGTGTTGTAATTAGGTGGCTCCTTAGATCCGGTGTTGAGCTGGGTGGTTTTACACAGCGGACAGAGTCCATCTGCAGGCTTTCCAGCTGCCTGCTGCCTGGGGGCCACTGAACCCTTTGCTGGCATGGGGTCCGGCTGCCCTTGAGCTTTTGGTCCAGGTTTTCCAGGTCCTTGTTGTGGTGGGCCACCTTGCCCTTGCCCTTGACCTTGTCTGGGGGCCTGACCAGGGGGTCCTTGATCTGATTTGGCCCCCTGACTTTGCCTTGGTCCTGGGCCAGGAGGACCTTGACCAGATTTCGGCCCCTGACCAGGTGGTCCTTGCCCTGGAGGACCTGATTTTGGTCCCTGACCGGGTGCACCCTGACCTTGCCTCGGCCCCTGACCAGGTGGGCCTTGACCTGGAAGACCTGATTTTGGTCCCTGACCGGGTGCACCCTGACCTTGCCTCGGTGCCTGTCCAGGGGGGCCTTGACCTGGCTTTGGGGGTCCTGCCTGCTGTGGTCCCTTTGGTCCCTGACCCTGCTGGGGGCCCTTCCCCAGTGGCTTCCCCCCCTGCTTGTTTTCCACTTTTGCTGTCGCATCGCCCTCCTCCTCGTCCCCGAACAGTCCAAACTTGGGAATGTTGACGGCGTCGCCCATAGATGAGATGGAGGACGTCATTGACGACACGGCGCTGAGGGGATTGGCCCCGCTGAGGAAGCTGGAGCCAAACATGCCGGACGATTTAGTCTCCGGGCCTTTTGGCTCCTGCCGGAATCTGGATTCAAATAGGCTTAAGGACGAGGGGCTGCGGCCTGGTGTGGGCCTGCCAGGCGGACCCTGGTTGAAGGCGTCTACGGTTCGACTCTTACTTAGACCTGCAGGGCCCCTGGAGGCTCCTACCTGCTGGTGAGCATCAGATTCTGAAGGTCTGAATAAAAAAAACAGAAACAAAGCAATCCTTGTTATATTTACAAGTAAAAGAACCCAATAAAAGAAATGCAAGCAACACAAAACTAAAACAGGTTGATAGTGCTGCTGGTTAAATTTTATATCCGACTTTACAACATTTAACATTTAAACTTCATTAAAAGGAACAGCAATTTGCTAGCCATTTCTGTTTCTGCTGACTCATTCACACTCACCATGACAACAAGTCCCATCCTCTAAAACTACACCAAACATTAAACCAACAAACAGAAAATACAACAATTTCTTATTTGATTATCAGAGATATGACCATTTTGTACAGCGCCTTGCAGAAGTATCCAAAGCCCTTGAATTTTATTTTTTTTTACATTTAGTCTTGTTCCAACCTCCAACTTTAAACTCACTAGGATTCACAACACAATGTAGTGCAATAAAATGAAAAGGGTTAATCATTAAAACATTCCAAAGGAAAAAAAAAAAAAACAGCTGAGTGATTTTTGCATCCAAAAATCACTCAGCTACAAATATAAATCCACTTTTTCTTGTACGACCTCGAAAAAGGTTGTAGAGAACAAACAGCTGACGGAAACACAAATACTGGCGAACGGCATGGAGTGTGGACAGTAGACAGAGACTGAGAAGCGGTTTGTTGTAGCCTGAATGTTAGGACAAAGCGACGGGGCCCGTAAACCCAACCTGAACACAGAATGCAGCGCATGCCAAGTGGAAGTGGAGCTTTAGAGAAGTGCATCATTGGAAGCTAATGAACCAATTGGCTGCCATTGATTAAAGCATGACGGTGCATGTTTATGACACACACTTGCATTGGTTGCTGCTGCAGAGAAGATCCTTGGATGCTGTGGTGTAATTAAATAATGTTCTCTGGCAGTAAAAGTTTAATGTTGCAATGAATATAATATCTGATTGTTTTCATAGCACGCCTGAGTAATATGGTACTGTAAAGGGTAGCAGCCGAACAAAGGAGGGCTGGTCAGAATGGTGAGTGAACTTTGGGCGTGTTCAGGGTCCCTCCTAGCGTGGGGGCTCTGAGAGTCTACTGACCGAATGAATGACCAGTTGCAGGTTATCTACACAGATCATTATCCTTAGGCCAAGTTTAATACTTGCACACATTCAACATCCCTGGAACATTCAATTCAACATGAAACACTTAAATTCAGTGAAATATTTAGGAAATATATTAATCATACTAATAGTTTAATTAAATATCCATTGAATATACATTTAATATGCAACCCTGCACAGATAACCATAGTGGCGGGATTTCTTATATTATATGGAGATCATGAATTAAAACAGTATTTAAAGGCTTTGTTAAGTATAACAGTACACTGGTTACTATGCAAGTAGTAAATTACTAAGTAAAGAACACTGTACAATCTACTGAGTGAACGAAAAGGAACACTGAATTTTGAGAGAATTACCCAGAAATGTTTTTAATTTGATGACTATGACGTGTCTGTGCAATGACTATAAGAAGATGATCTGTGGGTAAATTAAGTTCATCTTGTTCCAAAATGTGAGACTCGTTTAATACTTCAGCTTTGTCCAGTTTTTGAAAATATGTACAAGACGACTATCTGGATGCGAGTCAGAGCGACTGTCGTTTGCCAACTTAATTTAAAATGTTTGCTAGACGCACACAGGCACTTAATGAAAATCAAGGAATCAGGAAGCTTTTACTTGCAGGTTGTTTTGAGAATCATTGCACAGAATTAAAATGTACTTTGTGTAACATTACCATGACAAGTAGTCCTTTTCACAAATACACACAAGTGTGCGTAGGCTTAGGAGCAACGTAGATCATTAACTCAAATGGTCTACACTTAACAGATTATGTTCACCACTGATTAAATAAGCTGAATTTTCTTCACAAGACTTGAGTCTGGATTGCCATGAGGTCTTTAAAGTGCAAGTCTAAGCCAAGTCTGAAATCATGTGTAAGACAAACATGCTACTAAGTGTTTTCTTTTTCAGTCAAGAAATGTATTTTGGCACAAAAAAAAAGGAATTATTTTTAAGAATTACTAATTCTTAAAAATAATTCAAATCAATTGCCTTATGCCTAATTTGATGTAATCAGATGTATTTCTATGTTTGGCATGTAGATGCAGCATTATTCATATCACCTCCTACCCCTCACTTTAGGGTTCAGAAGGCAAAAATACAAAACAGCAGAATTACAAAATAATAATAATAATAACAACAGACAACAAAAATGGACAATACAAATGGGCTCAAATGTTATGTGGTGGCCCCGCAATGAAATTCTGCTTGGGGCCTCATAAAGCCTTGGGCAGGCTCTGTCGACAAAACAATATTTGGCGTAAAAAGCGCCGCAGTGAGTATTTTCAGCACCACGGACAGCGCCAAGCCTGTTTCCTACTCGGCACGAGATGTAGCAGAGATTCAGTACGAATGAAAAAAAAACAAGACGGAAATCGTTTGGGGAAACACAATCAAAATAAAATAAGTTAATGTCCCTGTTCTATTTATAGTCATATTAATATTGATGCACCCCTCCCCCCAATCTCTAGCTCGGATATAAATAACATTCCCCCCGGCCCCCAGTTGGAGACAGTTAGCACAGAGGCCCATTACTTCATCCCATTGTAAATACCACTAACAAAATTTTGCAGGGTTTTTTTTTTTTTTATGGCTGTATATATATGTAGTTAATTGTTAAGATGTTCAAAATGCAAATGAAGAAGAAGAAGAAGAAAACATTAGGCACGACAAATTTCCTTACCCAGCAGGCATTTCGACCATTTCTCACAAATAGGCTACTGGAGGTGTGTCTCCTCACTGATTTCACACAGAACGACCGATCGAATCGGACCATTCTGGTGACTCGAGTGTATTCGTTTACACCGCCACGAGCTGCAACTTTGCCCACTTTACAGCCAATTTTGTGGATTCAGCCATTAAAAAAACCCAAAAACATTTTAATCGGAGACTCCCATGACTCCTCCTTACAATGAACTCTAGGAACAAACTGGGGTTTCTTGCGCGATTTGCGGCATTGAAATGGGTGTAAATGGGACTCTCCGCCTCCTTATTGCATATTTCTTAACAACCACACACACACACACACTCACACAGAGAGAGAGAGAGACATTCGCTCAGGCCTCTCGCACACAAAACGCTTGGTCCGTTTAGACATTTGGAGTGCATTGAATGATGCCGTTTGAAATCCCTGCCTTCGTGCAGCAGCCGGAGCTCCAGGTTGCCTGCCCTGCGCCCTTGACATCGCCGCGGCCAGTTGCCTCCTCTCGTCCTCGCTTAGTTCGCTCAGGTTGACCGGAGTGCCATCGGAGATCCGGACGAAGCCGCCCTTTCCGTCAGGTGTCAGCCCCTCCGGCAGACCAGACGGCGGCCCTTCGCCTCCTTCCAGGCTCGCTTCGTTCCCCATGATCGACCCCTCCCGTCCCCCCCAGTTCTCAGATCAATCCGACACCCGTCTTTTTTTTTTTCCTTTTTTTTAAATTAATTATCTTCGAAGACGGTGATCCTTCGAGTACCGAAGCATGACGGATTGTTTAGATTTCTGCAGTTATTTCCCTGTCCAGTCGCGCTTCTCCATTTCCTACGTTTCTCGTTGTTTTTCTGTAGCTCGCATCTCTCCAGCTTCAAACCACAGTTGCCACAGTTTTCCGTGAGGGGGGTCTTCGTTTTACTACTGCTCATAACCAATGAGCTACTTCCGGAACACGATTACAAAATAAAATACTTATTTTATTTTATTTTTTCCTAGCATCGTTTTCTTCATTATCGTTATTAATAAATTCACACCAGCCTTGACCAACAAAAATTTGAACTTTTCAATCCAAATGCTTTGAAATAAAAAAAATCCTACATTTTTTATGCCTGAAATTTTCAGTAATATTTAACTGTTTCATGTTTTATTTTATTAAATCCTAATTGAATTACATACCGTTTTAACTTCTGTTTTCTAATAATATTACCAACACAAAATATTATTAATTATTATTATTATTATTGTTATTAGACAAACGAGGTGTTACATAAATTATAGATTTTTTTTTTTTTTTTTTGGGGGGCTTTTTTTTTTTTCCACAGGGGAAATGTTTTTTTTTTGTCAAATTTACGTG